AGTGGTACACGCTTCCGAAATGTTGAAGAAGTGCGAGAATGGGTGGACGAATGGATTGCTTCGAAACAAACATCGTTTTATCGAGATGGTATCGCCCAGTTGCCAGAAAGATGGCAAAAAGTTGTAGAAAGTGATGGAAAATACTTTCATTGAAATAATTTAAATAAATTTTTTACAATAAATGCTTTTTCTCAGTATTTTTTGGGCGGAAACTAAGTTAAGGTCCTAATATATACACAAACTTTATATCAGAGGAGGACTTGAATTGTGCGAACTAATGCGCGGGTTTGTTGTTACGAACAAGTTGATAGTATAATTAATGGTATAAAAAAGGCGGATTACGACGAGACGCTGTCGCCATGTTTGCAAATATCTTTAGAAGCACCTACAGACATTGCATATGCATATAAGCGATATTTAAAACCATATTATAATACTATATTTAATCACGTAGAAGGTTAGCAGATTAATTGACCAGAAGAATATTTCATTATAATAACCAGAAATTCTGTTTAATTTAATCAAATCTTGTTTAACAAAACGTTGATCAAATCGTGATAAGCTTTTAGATGTATCTAATACACAAAATGATTGTAGGGTCATTACACAACAGCAATGGCTATATGTTTTACTTTGTTACTGTTAGCTGAGCACAAGGATATTCAGGTACTTCTCGATGGGGACGAATGATACATAACTTCAAAGAGAAAACTTATTTAATCCTATTAAATTATTAAATAGTTAATTAGCTCCTATTAAAATGGCAGAAATATTTACTACTTGTCGTGGTATATTTTTTCGTATATCAATTGAAATTAATCAATCAATTAAAATTAAAAAGAATCTTACAATAAAATAATAAAGTAAATATAAATATACCTGTAGACATTTGCTGAAATTATTTCTTTGCGTGTGTATAAAATATCACGAAGCAGCGAGACATACAATTTTAATTAAAATCGGTGATACAGAATTGCGTCAGGAATGAGGTCAATACAGTGATGAAACAGTTTGAGAAGAAATTGACTATATGATGCCCTACAGAGTCTGTCGTACTTAGAAAGATGTTTGAAGGAATCATTGCGGCTGTACCTTAGCGTGCATTTCATAGCGCGAGACACTGGGGAGGATTTGAAATTACGTGGTAACAGAAATAAATGTTTGTAAATGTATAACCATATTTCAGATTTAGCGTTTCGAAATCAATGCAATTAAATAGAAATTATATCCATGTATAATATGATACATTTTTTTATATATAGCCATTATCACAATATTTTCAATTATCATTTATAAATTACATCTAATTATATAATACACTTTACAAATTCGAATATAATATCCGGTGGAACAATTGTACATCTCAATATTTACGATGTTTATAGGGATCTCAATTTCTGGCCGAATCCCAATATATTTGATCCAGACAGATTTTTGCCTGAAAAAATACAAAAGCGTCATCATTATTCGTACCTGCCGTTCAGCGCGGGACCACGGAATTGTATTGGTAAGTTAGCGTGATGCTCACCTCTATGTGTGGGCAATTTTTAATACACAAATTATGCATAATAGGCCAACGATTCGCTATGTTGGAAATGAAGGCCATGATAGCTACTCTCGTACGCAACTTCTACTTGGAATCTATTGTTTATCTCAAAGACATGCAGATAACTGCTGATATAATACTTCGACCTAACCATCCGCTGCGTGTAAGATTTGTCCCAATAGAAAACGTTTGAAGCAAAAATGGATTCTATGAATATAAGAAGCGAATGTAAATACGTCGTTAAAATCTAATAATCGTCGATTTAACAGTTACACATCCATACATGTGTATATAAAAACTTAATATTAAAATCGCATATATACCATTTATTTATTTCTGTATATAACAAATTTCTGTATCTAATAGTTATCGATTTAATAATTACACATCTATACACGTATATATAAAATTATAATATTAAAATCGCATACATACATACATTCATGTGTATGTATATATGCGATTTTAATATTATAATTTTATATATACGTGTATGGATGTGTAATTGTTAAATCGACAACTGTTAGATACAGAAATTTGTTATATACAAAAATAAATAAATGGTATATATGTAAAGGTTATCTTAAACTTTAAAAATAAATTTTTTAGAAAAAACTTGGAATTAACTTTATTTCAGAATATAAGTTGTGACAAAATATATCTATAGTGTCTAAAAAATATTTGATATCTGTAATATGAAATATTTTCATAATTAAAATTTGAATAAAGACACATTATAATATAATAAGTACAATTATCTACAATGTCTCTCACGTCGTAAGTTGTGTGTGAATTCTAGACTTTGTGTTCCCCGAGTTTACCTTAAAACATGTATTCAATATGTTGTTATACATCGAATATATGTCTCTTAATTGTATCACGTTAACGATCAATTGTGACCGAATATTATCTTCGAAATAATGACAATTTGCTACTTGAGTTAAAATCAGTTTCTTTAGGCCCAGTTCCACAACCTCCAGTTAACTTAACTAGCTGGTTATTCCATTGGACTTGACCAATCGCATTTGACATTAAGAAGAGTTAATCAGAATTAACTAATCACTATTGGGACTTAACTGGTAGTTAAAATTAAACGGATGTTGTGGAACTTGGCCTTAGAGACATTCTAAACAGCACAGATCTCTTCAAGACATCCTAAAGACGATTCTGAGAACGTTCCTTCGTCCTAAGAACGTCTCGAGGGATCTCCACACTCTAGAGATCTTGTACTATCTGGGGTCTTTAAAAAATTATAAATTTCATATTTCATCGTGTAAAAGACAATAGTTGATTTCCATCAAGAAACACAAAGTCATTTCGTTGGTTACATATCATCTTCAAATCATCTTTAGATAATATCTAGGCAATGAAAAAATGTTATGCCTCTTGTTGGAAAGCAACTGTAACATAAGTTGAGAACTTCAAGATTCTTGAAATAACTTAATTGATACGTTCATAAATAATCGTTTTCGCGCATGCCAGTTTCCATAGGATAACAAAACAAAAGCGCACGCCGTGCGCTGTGTGCGACGGATAAGAAAATTTATGACGGCGTGTTAATTGATGTTTCTCGTGTCGCTTAATTTGACGTTAAATTGTTACGCGACAAAATATTTGAATAAATACAGCGAGAAGATCTCCAAAAACGATGAATAAACACGAGCATAAACAAAGGGATATTGTGAGCATATTATATTATAGAGAATATTGTCTGGATTCATATTAATATGAAATATTAACGTCTTTGTTATTTCTGATCTCAATGCAGAACGAAGAAGATAATCGATTACAAGAGGAACTACTGCAGGCGGTCGATGTATTAAGAGTATAACAATTTTGACAATTTCCAAAGTTAAATAAAGTTAAATAAAGAAAGATTGGACAGATTAATCGTGATCTTGATTCTCGATGCTTAAAAGTAGTATGTTTCTCACTTGCCTTTTCCATCAGGGTAAAAATGAAACAGACATGTTGCTGTCGCTGAGTCAACTAAGGATGCTAATACGCATATCTACGACTTCAACGACTTCCGTCCCAAAACCTCTTAAGTACTTGAGGACTTTTTATCCGAGCCTGAAGAACGCATACGAGTGGCTCAAGCGGGAGGAAGTAAAAGTGCGTTTTGCAGAAATTCTCAGTGTGCTCTCTTTAGCCGGTGCCCCTCCAGGATCCAGAGAATGTTTGGATTTCTGTATCAAAGGAGCCGTGGATAATCCTGGCGAGTGGGGCCACGAATATGTGAGGCAACTTGAGATAGAGATCGTCGATGAATGGGCGAATGCGCCGATCAAAGAGGAGCAAGAGATCAGGTGGTTCTAGCTACTTTTATTGAAATCCACTGATTTTATAATGATATCGACGTTGAAATATTTTGCGTCAAGTTACGCGAGTATCGTTTGAATTTACGCAACTCTTGCCGATTTCTGACAACGCGGTTTACTATAAAAAAGTTTTCCTATCTATAATTCTTTCATTATGCGGTTATAATTACAAGTATCAAACACTTTTTCCTTAGTATACGCGGAAAATCAGGGGGTGGAGTAATGGGACTAACGTAATTAATTAAAAATAATTAAATAAATAAATATAAGACGTCGGTTGTATTCATGATAGAAAACGCCTCGTGCCGTTAATCAGAAGCATCATCGCGTTTGACATGAAACACAACGCGGAGATACAAGCGTGCGATCTGTGCCTGGAGATCGGCGAGCTGAACTTTCTCGCCGTACATTTGGACTCTACGAACTTTATGCGAGTGTGCCATTACTTGATCAGTTGCGCGGCTTACAGGTGATAATGAGATATTTTGTGATTAAAATTTCTCCTCGATATCTGTGTTTTGAAGTAAGTTAGAAAGCAGCTTATTTAAAAAAGCAATTACTGGCGCTGAATCCGCGAAAATAGGACGGCATAATTGAATCGCGTTTTGGACTTTGTTTCCGCATTGTCGATTTATTTCTTCGCTCAAGCTTTAGCTATACCGTATTTTTCAGCGAGGACACGGAGAGAAGACAAATATTAGAATTCGCCGCGGAGCAATATCTGAAGTTTAACGAGTATACGAGGGCAATTTTGGTGGCGCTGCAACTTGCAAATTCGGAACTTGTTTTCAAGTGCTTCTCTGCTTGTCCTGACTCTTTGATGAGGAGTCAGCTAGCCTTCATCCTCGCCCGGTTGCAGGTAACTTCTCGCATAATATCCGCATCGCATCCCACAATTTCACAATTGAGACGAGTAGCCAAACGATGTGTACAAACTGACGTGAAAAGCGACTTAAAGTAAGAAAGGCTCTAATTTGGGTGTGTTATAATTCCGAATTTAAATTTATATATATATATATATATATATATATATATATATATATATATATATATATATA